AATCAACAAAAATCGCGTCGTTTCGCATCATCGTCACGCATTAAAAGTGCGATCATTTTTCATGTGAATCACATTGGCAATGGGGGTTTAAGAGTTGATCTGCGCCATATGGTAGCCTATAGCTTTTTCGCCAATAAAATGGGAGGCATTAAATCATCAAGTAACCGCGCATCGATCTTACCTTCCTCAAAGGTCATCATTTATATGTAAACGACGATGATGTTGACGGCGACTACGACGACGATGGTGTAAACGTCGAGTGTAAGAGCGATCAAGCGAGTGAGTAAAGTGTCCGCGAATTGGAGAATCTGAAATTGGTTGATCCTTGAAGCGATCACTGCTCTGTGATTGCTGCTAAATGTCAAATTCGACTCTTTTTTTCTCTCATTTACTTCGTTTTTTTTTTTGGTCAGAGTTTATTGTCCTTTTTTGCACAACAAGTACACAACATCGCCTTGTTGTCATTGTCATTATTAATAAATCGAATCGATTGCAGTTTGTGTGTTTGTTTAAATGCTTTGCTCTAGCCAACAACAAAAAAGCAAACCACACAACCGTATAACAACCAAAACGACACAAGATTTCAAAGCAAAGATTGGGCACAGAGCGCGTTTGCAAAAACCCGCGCGCGCACTGTAAAATGCACATTTCGCTGAGAAAGCATGAGATAGTTCAAATGGTTGCAATGGTGTTTTCCGAATGACAACAACAACGATTCTGCTACTACTGCTGCAGCAAGAAAAAAAACAAAAAACTGCACAGATAGAAGTGTGCGGTGGTTTTGTTTAGTTTTTTTTTTCTTCTTTCATTTTTAGTGTGTGTTTTTTTTCGTGAATAGCCATGGCTGTGCACATAAAACAAAAGGCAATAGCGCGACGGTTGAAATGAACACTCACTATCACCCATTGAAACGAATGCAATTCTCCTTGCATACGATCTATGTGCATTGGAAAAGCTAAAAACTCGATGATGGGAGAAGGCCAATGACCGTTAGTTTTCTGTGCGTGTTTTATTTTGTTGCTTTTTGTTCGTGTGCATAATGGTGCTGCTGTTGTTGCCGCTGTTGCTGTTGCTGCTGCTATGTGTGGTTGTTTAGCGATATTTTTTTTACTTCCACTTCTTCTTCCTTATAATTTTGTCTCCGTCTCTCGAACGCCTTCCTTCGATCTTTCTAATCGTTGTGTGCGTGCGCGCGCGCGCGTGGTTTTTCCCCTTTTTTTCTTCAGCTTCTTCTTCTTCTGTCGTTTCGATTGACTTTACCAATAGAAATACATAACATTTACGCGTTAAGTTGCATGCATTTATGCAGAAATTCACATAATTTTTAAAGGCCTTTAATCGTTAGATAGAGACTATGTTTTACAGCGTTCGCTTAGATAAACGCCAATTTATCAGATTTTTATCTCTCTTTTTTTTCTCAATCAGTCTCTCTCTCTCTCTCTCTTGCACTCTCTCGCTCTCACCTTCAATCTTACTCTCACCTTCTCTCCTGATGTCTCGCCCTCTCAACCCATGATTTAACTCGCAATCTTTCTTTCTTTCGCCGTTGTCTTCTGCTGCAAGCGCGCGCCATCGGTTTTTTGTGCATTTATCACACAACGAGACACACGTACACACACATCAGAGAGGCTTCGGTACAAAATAATTCAAATCGGCCAAATATGCAGTTGTTGCGCACATTTGTTGCTCTCTGTTGCTGCACTCTCTTCATCGAGCACGAAAACACTTTCACTTCAACCAGAACTTTACGGTTTTCGTTTTGAGCGCTAGTGTTTGTGTGTGTGTTTTTAAGCAAATTAGGTATCACAACAAAAAGAAGAGAGAAGAAATAAAAAACCAACCACAAATGAATAATAGCGATTTGGCGAAATATAGTTGTACAGTCCAATAAAAATAAAAACAAACGAACGAGTGAGCGAGCGAACAAACAAAACCAACAGCAGCAGCAACGAAAACAACAAGAGTCGCACACACAACATGGAAATACATACCGATTTTTTTTTCGTTCTTGTTGTATTGAGGTGCATCAGTGTACGAAAAAAAAACTTGATGCAGATCATATACATATTATATAGCGGTTTTGTTGCATTTTGTTTTTGCCGTTTTTGAATAGGCGGCAAATAACACATTTAATTTATTGTATTTTGTGTGTGCATTAGTGTGAACATTTTTAACTAGTGAAAGTTGTTTTTTACTCTGGCTGCTGCTGCTGCTGCTTTTTTCCATTGGTTGTTGTCGGTGTCGAAAAAGAAGCTTTGCGGTTACATTTTCTGGTAACAAAACCCTTTGTGACTTGACTGGTTTCAAACCTCTTTTTCAATGTTGCCTTCTGCCAAAATCAATTGAAGGGATGCTCATGCCTCCTTCAAACCACACACACATACACACATACCGTCACATATCATCGCCTCAATTCACATTCCCAGTTTACGCGCCCGTGATCACAATGCATGCATTCAATTGAAGAATGAAAGAAAAAAAAACGTAACATTTAAAACAAATTAAATAATTAATAATTTAATGCATTTTTTGTTGCTCTCTATCGCTCTGGATATGCCGCGTTTTTCTCTTCACTTTCAAATTCGGATCGCGCGCATTGAAGGAAAAAAAAAAGAAAAGAAAAATGCAATCGACGAGAGCGAAAATGAAAGAAAGAAAGAAAAATAAAATACATTGTTATTACTCGTGCTTTTCCTATTACGAAACTCACGTAGTTCAAACATTTTGTAATTCAATGGCAAGTACATGCGGAATTGAATCTTGTGTACAACGCCGCACGACCAGAAATGCAATCTGCAGAGTATATTCACACGTTCGCACACACACACACACACACACACACACACACACACACATAGAGAGACAGAGAGAAGAAAAAAAGCAAGCAAGCAGCAGCAGCGGTGGTGGCGGCGGCTGCAGCATAAGAGCCACTTTTATAACACCGTTTAACTATCAGCGTGGTGGTTCGGTGTGTATCATGTGAATGAATTGAAAAGTAAAAGTTCGTTGAACGCGACGACGTTAAATCATATGCTCCAATAGAGAAAAAATTACGCAAATTCTTGTTGTGATCGTCGACGATCATATTATTGACAATATGATTATCGATTTAACGAGTCCTTCAATAAAATTTAAATTTTCTCGCCTTTTTTTCAACAGAATGACAACTTTTTCGTCTTCTTTTGGTTGAATGAGTTTTTTTTTGTGTATACTGAAGAAATGATTTTTTCATTTCTTCTTTTCGGAAATATTGTTTTGCCTCTTGTGACTTCCCCAATGAGAATTCATTTGGATAGTAATTTGTTTACCGATAAAGCATGCTGTGCGTGTATTTTTTTTCTCTTTGCAAATGACGAAAAAAAATCCCCCGTTGGCGAAAGTGCATTAAGCTGTACCGGCAGTAACAAATCAGAATGGCACTGGAAATAAAACCAGTCATATCGAAATGCATATTAATTACACTCATCACACACAGTCATATTGCTGACAATTATGCGACAATTGAGATTGCGTCGCATTATTGTTACATTGTCTGTCATATGCGCGCGGGGCACGTACGTTTTTACTGTAGCAACCAGAGTGAGATGCCGTCCGAATGCGGAAAACAAAGATTAGACTAACACTGCTGTGTAATAATAATACCAGCGTATTAAAAATAGCGCGCGCGCGCGAGAGAGAGAGAGAGAGAGAGAGAGAGAAGCAACAAACCGCGAGGTGTGCATATCATTATTATCATTTTCAGCCAGTTCTTTTTTGAGTTGGAAAACGGTTTTCTGTGTTGCTTAAAAATGGAAATTTGAAAATAGATTTTCATTTCAATATTATTAATCGAAATTAATGCAACCAATGAAGAATGAAGGAGAAAGAGTAAGAAAGAGCCCCAGGGAAATAGTGTGAAATAGAAAGAGAGAGAGAGAGATGGGGGGGGAAAAGCGTTCGTTCGGGAAATCGCCTTAAACCATTTGATAATTACCATCCAGCCAATTTTCAACAAACTAATATTTTCGGGCCCAAAGATGCATTCCGAATTGTTAATTGTGTGAAAAATGCAAACAATTTTCTAACAACAATAACAACTACAATTATAACGAAGCAACAAAAAAACAACATAGAAGGCTGTTCAATGTTTCGGAGTTTATTTCCTTTTTCTTCATTTTTTTTTTCATTTGTTGTTCAAAATACATGAAAGTTTAACAGCAATTAGCCAATGCGTCTATTAGTCGAAATATAAAAAGAAATTCATGGGCCAATTTGATATGCGTGGTTTCAATTAAAGTTCAATGCAGCTCCGTTTATTTGTTTCAGTAATAATGAACGATTATTATTATTTATTTAACTTGTTTTTTTTTCTGTGTTCGTTCGCACAGCCGCTACTTTTGATACATAGGTGCATACGACATACAATTGAGCGTGCGCGAGCGAGAGCGAGTGAACCGCAAATACACCAATGCAATGCCAATGTTTTGCACATTGAGAATAACGTTATGCGTTTTACATGACGCGAACGCGCGAATGACTTTCGGTCACATGTGCCGCTATAGATTTACACACTCACCCATACATACGTACACGTACACCAGTTTATGCACACGTAAATATATTAAACTGACCCCGGACGCACAATTTACATCACCATCTATAATTGTAGCATGCGAACTAATTTTTTTCTTTCTCTTTCGCTTGTTTCAATCGTTCAAACGAAACAATAACACGAGAAAACATGCACTCAAGGCAAATCGCATCACAATTACAACGCGATTTTGTGTTTTGATTCAGTTTTTGAAGATCATGTCACATGGTGGTGGTGGCGGTGGCGGCAACCGGCATCCGAAAATTTCTACGAGCCCGAAATCTCGCGGTTTCAATCAAATAGGAAGTTATAAAATCAAATATAATTTTTTTTTTGTTTTCAATGTGAATGCCTTTTAAATTTTCAACAGTCATCACATCAAAACAAATCAACACGATAGTTGTTTACACAAACCGAAAAATCTGCCAAGTTGTACGTAACGATAAAAAAAAGTACAATTTATTTGCATTCATTCTTAATCTATTCAAAGTAGGCATAACAACAATAACAACCACATTATTTCTTCGCAACACGGCATTTTCTCTCGTTTAACCTTGTGAAATTACTACAATTTATACAATGTGTAAAACACACCGAAATACAGGCAATTTTCGCGAGAGATTTTGTTTTTTCGAGCCGCATACACAAACACAGACACAGACACTTAATTACTTCGGTCGAGTTTTATTTCCGTTTCCGGTTTCCATTGTCTGATGTTGTGTTGTATCTAAGATGATCGTGGCAATTTGTTCACCGCGAATCAATAATTTTTGTACGTTTCGTGAGCATTCAACTCGCTTCCGATTGATGGATTTAACATTTAACGATGGTATGGTGATGTTGAGGTGTTGCAACCGTTGCAAACACACTTTCAATTGCGACTCGGCATCTGTATCATCATTATCATCATTTACTATCGTGGTTGCCTTGCATGTGTGATGATACTTTTTGCGTGTCCACACTTCAAATACATTGGTTAGTACGATGTTCCAGTGCTTATCAAATGCCTCAATGAAACCAGTTACGTGACCATTTATAGTTACGGCATTCCTGGTGAATATCTGGTGGTAAAAGAGAAGAGAAAAAAAACCAATTCAGCAGTCATAATTTATGGAAATCGAACAACGATGATTCAGTCAAATCGACAATTGATTGAATGGATGTGAAGCTCACCTTTACACGTTTTTGTTGCTCTTTCCATTGTTTCAACATATTGGTCGGTCCATCGCAGTCACCACTCATTTTTGTCAATAAATTCCGTGTATGTCGAGCACTCTTTCCCCGCCCTTTGACCATCTCTACGGTAAATCATTGAACCAACAAGAAAAAGAAGAAATAAGGTTAAACGCTTGAAAAATTGATTTTCTTCCATTTTTGAAGCATTCCGAGTTATTTTATGCGAAAACTGCCAAATTGTAAGATGGAAAAATTGCCAAAATTTCAAAAAAAAAATAATAATTCGAAAAAATGAACGATCATTTGAAAACGGAACAATAAATCGGCTGTGAATTCAAACAACAGCCAACACACAAACCTTGATGCGGTAAAAACCTTCTCTTGTGTAGTTCGATTTCTTGACGATACGATTTCGATGGCATTTTTGGCGCTGCATGCTGCTTTGTTGTCTATGAAAAAAAAACACAAAATATGCGATATGTTACACGAATCAATTGAATGTTCATTTGCAATCAACAAATCCAATCAATTGAATGTTCTTATTTTTTTTAAATAGCATTGGTATTGCAAAACGTAGCCTTCGATTAAAAAAAAAGAGAATTTTTTTTCACTTATTTGTTTTCGAGCATAATTCAAACTCACCGTTTCGCCGGTTTGTTGTCTTCTCATTGCAGATTCATATTGAGCCACGTTATTGTACTGCGGTGCATCTTTGATGGGTATTTGGATTTCGGGTGACAATAGTGCCTTTAGCGGATTGAACAAATCACTGCGAATATCCAATTCTGGGTCGATATTTTCAATTCTCATCTCACTTGATGTGGATGTCAGCTCCTCTGAATCACTCATCTTCTCTCATACGAAAAATTAGTTTCAAACAAACGTTTCTGTTTCACTTTCACCAAATGTTCACAACAAATTAATGCGCACAACATTAATCAGATAATAATCACAACATAAATCACAAATAAATTCGAAACATTCAAACATTTAAAATTTCATTTTGCGTGGAATGTATTTGAATTCCTATCTCATTTGAGCAGGCGAATGTTGTTTATGAACTTTCTGACTTTCTGTCATACACTGACATTTCAAACGTCACAACACACACAATGTCGCTCATTTTTATTCGGTTGTTTTTGGCGCTCGCAACTCGTCATCGTGTTCACCATTATATAGCGCAAAAATTCAATATCACACATTAATCGATGTGCGGTGTGGCATTCAATTTAAATTGCATTTTTCAATGATTTTGTCATTCGACTATTCTGGGGGGGGGGGAATTTTTATGATGAACAGAAAAAAAATCAGCGGCGTTTGCATAACTGCCGGCGCAATTTTTTTTTCATTGCATGTACTCGATTGCATCGAAATACTTGATCATTCTTCATTCAATTGCATGAATACTGACTTATTTCTTTCAGATTAATTATTCAATTGGTTTTTTTTTTCTAAATATTTTCTCTTTTTTTCTCACTTTCTTCACAGAAAATGCCAGCAATAATAAGTGACACCGACGCCAGATTGATCACGTGACACCGAAAACCGTATTTACGATCGCAAGCGGAAAATCTTTGCATTCAATTCACCATTTACCTTTTTTTTGGATGAAAGAAAAAAATTATTTATTTGGAACAAGTGCCCTTTTTGATATACATTTGTGTAATCGAAATTCATCAAAATTCCGTTTATTTTTTTTTCTTGAAAAATTTCGCCCGATACAAAAAGTTATTTAGTGAAACATGACATGAAAAAAGTTTGCTTCGAAAAGTTCGGAGATTTGGTGTTGTGAAAGCTCGCATGAACAAGGAAGAGAGAGAAAAGAAGAAAAAAAAGCTTAAAAAAAAACCATGAGTTGTGAATAAGGTGCCTTCAAACATTTTTTTTAAGAAACCAAGCGCCGTCATATAGACTAAATCGCTACAATTCCAAAAGTGAATTAAAAAAAAAAAACAAAACAAAACTGAAACTGTGATCAACATCAATTTTAAGCGAAAACCGCCGCAAAGTTTACTACACACAACATTTTAGCATTTAAATCGAGCTTCTTTTTTGGTGTAACGTACATATGAAGACTGATTCGGCCGTTTAACGTGCTCATCATTCAGAGAAACGTCTCTCACCTTCGAATTTAAATATCGTCAATTTGATTGACATTTTCCCTCAAACTGTTTCATTCATCTGATACGCTGGCAGCATCGAAGACAACACTTCGAAGTGGCAGTGCCACCACGGGAATGCCATTTATTGATGATACACTGCTTTGGTGTCCTGATAACGATGGCCGAATGGTGGACATTTCCGCTTGTTTACAGGTACAGTTTTTGTAAACTTTACGAATTCTCAAGTTCGAATGCGATTCATTCGGTTGTTTTTCGCACATTTTGATTTCATTTAACTTCAATCATTTTTATCTTTCATTTTCTCTCCTTTTTTTTCTTTTTTCCATTTTTCTTAAAAAAAATGAATTCATGAAAAAAAAATATCTAAATCAAATCGATCAAAATAGTATCGATAAAATCAATATCTCTGAAAATGATACATTTAATTCTATTCATCAGGATGCCACCGGAGTGAACGTTACCAATAATCAAAACCAAGATATACCGGGTAGTTCATGTGACCTTAGCTCATTGGATCCACTATGTAACGATTCGGAGGAGATTTTGCGTCAGCTCGTTGAAAATCCATTCGATGTTGACTCGTTTTTTACCGAATTCAATGGAGCTGATGTAAAGGTAAGGACCAATTGACCTTATTTTTATTCAAATTTTGAGACATTTCGATATTTTTTTGCGAAAAATTCAAATGATTACGACATTCTCGACACTAATTACTAACCGGTAATAATATAAAACCCTCTATTGTATGGGTCCAACTTCGCTACAGCGCCCAAATGACTACGAATAATATTTTCCATGAATTGAGCATAAATACTTCATAATATCTTCATTCAAAAATGATCAAGTGATTCATTCGAAGATCCATTCCAAAACAAAAATGCGCTGCAAATGAATGCGCTTATTTATAAGCACGTAGCTTCTAGTAGCTTTAGCTATGAGTTGAATCCCATCAAATTAGTCGATTAGCTTTAAAGCGCCTGCAAGCAGACTCAACTTTTCATGTTGCATACCTCGTTTCGATCCGTTGAGCTTACTACATGCAGCGGTAAACAGAGGTCGGCACCAGTGCAAAGCTGCTTACTACGTTGTCACATGTTTCATACAAATTGTTCATTGAAACAACATTTTTGAGTTCGCTGCTGTATTTATGAGTAGCTTATAAAAAATTCTTTGAAAATATATTAATTTTGACTTTTTTTTTAGTTTTGATTTCAGTTTTTCTATGAATTTTTCAATAGTTTTTATTTCAATATTTTTTCTGTTGAATTTTTCAGTCATTTCAATTGAAACTTTAGTTCATAAAAGCTCAATTTTGTTGTTGTTCGTTATACACGGAAAATTGTTCTGTCGTCCATTGAGTTTCCGTTTTGCATTTTTGGAGAAAAACAAAAAGCAGCGGTGGTTTCAATTCAATAATCAAATCGGATTTCGAAACAAATCTAATAATAACACGAAATCCATTCATGAAACGATCTGGTTTACATTCAATGTTTATTGCAATCAGAACTAGAACGTCCTATGTATGCAATTAATTTATTGTAAAATTGTCGGAATGCAATAGTTTACTCTATTTTTTCTCTCGAAAAATCTATCAAACCAAAAGAAAAAAACAAATTTCGATTTTAAATTTATTTTCCAAATTTTTCGATTTAGTGTTGTCTATCATCATTTCTAATCGATTTACAGGAGGAGAATAATAACAATAACAATCTACCGAACCAGCATACAGTCAATGATGATGAGTACAATACCGATAGTACGACTCAATTGCTACAAAATTTAACTGCATCACAAAATACTTCCCATCAAAATGATACAAATGATAGTCTATTGGCATTGGCGGTTGCACTGCGTTCAGCGGCCAATGTATCGCCAGATAATCATCATCATCACCAGCAAAATCTTCGACAACACCTTTCGATCAATCGAAATTTTACCGTAACCACATCACAATCGCTGGCTGACAAATTACATGCACCAAGCATTAGCGATTTAGACAGTTTAGCAGTTAGCAATCGCCCACATAAACCGCCCGATCTAAAAGGTAAGGCTCAATATGAATTTTATTTATTTCGTTTTTTTTTCCGCTCGGTTATATTTATTTATGTCATATTTGACATTTTCGGTGGGAGTCAAGATTCGAATTATGTATTGATGCTTCCTAGGAATTTGCATTCGAATAATCCGTTTTTTTTTTCGAACGGGAAAAACTATTTTTCCGAAAAAAAAACTTTCTGCAATTCGAATAGTTATTGCATTCTAGTTGATTTTCCTTTCAAATTTCGAGTTAAGTTAGGTGTTAAAGAACGATTTACCAGGTTTGGTTCTAAGATGTGGATAAAAATGTCTAAAAAAATGGAAATTCCGCAAGTGCTCAAAGAGAAAAGGTGTCACCATATGGCCGCTCGAGCCGTGAAATCATAAGATATTTCCCATCAAATTAACCCTAAACGAGACTTTTGAACTCTGAAAATTGCGAGAGAAAAAAAAATGCTGAAAAACCAAAGAACTTAGTCATAACAAAAATCACAGCGAATGACATTCAAGTTGGTTCTGATTCACCAAGAACTCGTCTTTTCGTTGTAACATCCCATCGAAATCGAATACGTGCATGCATCGTTTTGTTGTTCGTTTTATTTATTTATTTTTTTCTACTCGTTGTTTCAGTTAAATTATAGGCATGATAGTAATTACTTATGTTTTGTCTTGCAACCAGTCAGACTTGGGCATGGTCGGAATATGTCTGCTAAGTTTCACACCCAAGCAACATAGTCAATTTTTCAGTTGAACGAAATGGCATCAACGGTTTGATTGAATTCCACATTCAAATGGAAAATGTATGTGGAAACTGCATTTTCATTTGTCGATCGAAATTGCTGTTGCTGAATAAATTTCAAATCACCGATAAAATTCGTCCATCTCTGTTTGCAAAAAAAAAAAATTATTCGCGTTGCCTATATGTTATCTACACGGTGTGTGTGAGTCGCTAGCAGATGCTAATGACACTTTCAAGAGCACAAATATCTTTCTGTGTCATTCAATTCGGATCTCTGTGTGTGTGTGTGCCTGTTTCAATTCGCTTTTTTTTCTCTATTCTCTCCAATGCATCGTTTTTGTCTGCGTTTTATAATTAAATGGCAATTATATTTGAAATTTGTGACGGTTTCAATCGTTCGTATTCCAAATTCAATACGGTAGAATGACGGAGCGACTGAATGGGCCAACCGAGTGAGGAAGTGAGAAAGAAGAGAAATACCGAAACGGTCGCAATGCAAAGCTCTTTCAAACAATATCGTCTTATTCGTGTAGTCAAGTTTAAATTTTCCGTTGAAAAAGCGAGCACGATTGCACACTACTTCTACGCTGACTGCATTACATCACTTCGCCACAGTCAGGTCTCTCGTTCTCGTTCTCTCTCTCTCTATTCTCGATGCTTGCATACGGTAGTTCACGATTATATATTTTTTGAATGTCACATGTACGCACTGTGCCCCGAGCACACATAGCTTAAAGCACTAGTGTGCCGCAAATGCGGACGATAGTTGAAAAACAGCAAGAGCGAGAGCTAAAGAGAGCAAAAGCGCCAGCGAGAAAGAGAGAGAGAGAGAGAGAGAGAGAGAGATAGTAAGAAAAAAAAACTGCATTGGAAAATAATGATAAATTTCGTGCGTGTTTGAATTAGAATTTAAATAGATTTGCATATTGTATGCGCTTGCAACTCCCCGCGCAACACGTGAAATGATCCGCGTACGTAACAGATGTCATTGTTGCATGTAATATATCTTCACTGTGTCTCTCTATATACTATATAAAATGCATTTGAGGCGATGTGTGCTGCTGTGTCGTTGTTGTTATTTTGTCGATTTAGTTTTTGTTTTTCATCTTCTCTTCACTCTTCTCTCTTTACTTGCCAAAAGGAGCGATAAATGTACAATGTTGTACGTATAACATTTCAATATTAG